GCAGTTGGTTGCTCCGACAAGGTATTTTTAAGGAGTGAATAAATAGTAATAACAGCACAGACCACATGCAAGGCACTGTTCCAAGTCCTTGTCACAATCTCATTTCAGCTTCACGATACCATGGGGTAGGTGTGGTTACCATCATCCCAACTTTACAAATGAGGAAACTCGGCACACAGAGGTTAGGTAACTAACTTACCCAAGGGTACAAGACTAGTAATGGTAGACCCAGAGTTCAAAGCCAGTCGGGCTTCAGAGTCTACACCCTGAACTCCTGTGAAGTGCTGAATATGCCACCAAAGTCAGGTACTCTAGCATTAGGAAGTCATCAGCAGAGGACATGACAGCCCCAAAGGGGAGAAGTCCTCCCAGAGGTTTCTGGCGGTGCTAAGCAGGCACTGTTTCTGTTTGACTTTCAATGAAAACTGACACTTAAGCGGGAGACCACCTATAGTTTTTAAGTAACTATGTAACCACATTTGGTTATGGAGCCACTGAAGCAGGATGATCTAGGTTTACATAGTATTCTCTGCTCACAATACATCAATTCTAGGGGAAGCCTTTTAAACACCCTGCGGTCCTGCTTGCCATCTCTGAGGAGGTCCAAGGCTGGCTGGAAGGATTGAACAAGGTCATGAGAATGGCTGCCTATTCATATGATAAGGTATTGTATTAACATAATGTAAGACATAATAACTAGTGTATTTCATTACAATGACAGGTCAAAATTTCTATACTCATCAATCTATAATTGTCAGAATTCTACACATGCCTACACTTCTACAAAAGTTCCTATTTATGTCTCCACATTTTAGTAACTGTGTAAAGCTTAACAATTTATTTCTACCAGGCTGTCTCCCTTCATTGTTATCTCCGAGCTCCCATATATTTCCACTATAACTTTAATAACTTTTCTCTACCTTAATCCAACTGCTTTGTTCACTATAGAAGCACAAAGAGTTAATGAGGCAGCAAATGTTTTAGTCTAACTTTAGATTCCCCTATTAGCGAATGACAAAATTAGCAAGCAAGAGCTTCATTTTATTTTATAATTAAAAAGCTCAAAGTGATATTGCTGTAGCTCTGAAGGCATGAAGTTTGGGGTTGGATCCAGGCATGAAGTAGGCCTGAGTCAGCTAGCCCTGCCTGGTGTGGCTCAGTGGGCTGAGCGTCAGCCTGTGAAGGGTCACCAGCCTGTGAAGGGTCACCAGCCTGTGAAGGGTCACCAGTTTGACTCCCAGTCAGCGCCATCGATGTTTCTCTCCCTCTCTTTCTTCTTCCCTTCCCCTATCTCTAAAAATAGATAAATAAAATCCTTGGAAAAATCAGCCATGGTTCTGTTGCTTGGAAAGCACATGTCTCCATATAATCACGGGGAAGAACAAATGGCATTCAAACTATTCACAAATTTGATATGATAACTCTAACCACACACAGAGCGGAGAGGAAGGGAGAGCTGGGGGGTGTGAAAACCAGGTGCAATAACTTTCAACTCAGCCTCATTTTTAAAGCCCTGGTTTCTATGCTACTGACTATGACCTCTCTAAGGAGTCAGTTAGACACTGAGGCACAGAGAGTGGTAGGCAGATGACAAAGGGGTGCCTAGTGATACAGAAACAAGAATGCGTAAGTTGGGGAAGTAACTGTGAAAACAAACAGGATTTTCAAGTTCCTACCGTTGCTACCAGTAGATGTTTGAGTTGCACAAACTCTCCCTCACCCCAGGGACCAGCAGAGGCGGCTCCACTGACGTGTTAAGTGCGGATGCTTAGGGGCTGGGGGAGAAAAGGGAAGAGAGGGAGGCAGAGGCAGAGAGATGCACAGGTGACCCAGCCAAGAGGATGCAGGCACAGGTGGCTTCTGGGCTGCAGACACTTCCCCACAAGGCTCCTCTAAGTTCTTTTCTCAGTGCCTTTTTAATCATTAACTTTCTCCTTGCTCTGGAAGGAAGCCGACTGTCCGGTTCCTTTTCAAAAGGCAGTGGCTTTCCCAAGCAAGGCCCTAGCATCGGGAGCAGCCTGCTGGTCCTGGGGGTGGAGGCCAGTGGGCTGGAGTCTGTGGATCAGTTAGACCACTCATACCCACCCGACTTTCGGACTCAGAGCAGACCATGCAATTCATTCCTGGTTTGCAGGTGCCTTCTCATAGCTGCCTTGCAGTATCTCCAGGCCCTGGTCCATCTGCAAGGCTGTACAGTGTATTCATGAAGGGGCCCTGGGAGGCTGCTTCTGTCAAAATGCCCACAACCCTAGCAGAAGGCAGCTGGAGCCTCTTCTGCACCCCCTCAGTGCAGGTGCACAGGCCTCCTGGCTGCCCCTCCCTTTGCCACTCCCTGGACTCACCCTTCGGCATCTTAGGTGTAAGGTGGCTCCCCCAGACCCATGTTGTTTAAGCCATCATACCCACAGAGGCACAGCCCTGGTTCAAAGACTCAAAATGGCTCAGTGCTCTCCCACCTTGCTAAGTTGAACTCTCAGCTGGCTTTCAAAGCCTAGAAACCACAAGGGTGGACCCAGCAAACCTTATTTCAGGTGACTGCAGGACCATTATTCCTATCTCAGTGACTTCGCTCTTAAGGCAACCCCTACACCAGCACGTGGGCACAAGTCCTAATCCAGCAACCAAGAACCTTGTTCCAGGGTGGAAGTCTTCCCCTCTGAATTCTCAGGACCCTGGATACGCTCTCATCTGCCCCTCCCCACCTCCAGATAGCAGTCTCAGTCCATCCCCCCCTTTCTCACCCAGAAGCTGCAGGCATTAATTAAACCTCTTCCAGAAGACAGATTTTCACCAGCTGTAGGAATTCTGGGTAAGAGCCAGACCTGGGGACAAAGACAGTCTGGGGAAGAAAGATAAGCCCATGAGAGCGGGGAACCTGTGGCCAGAGCAGGTTCTCGCACCCAAGGGGCATTCTGAATCCCAGCTCTTCCTGATCTCCAAAAAGGAGCGCAAGGTGCTCCCACCCCTCAGCCTCTGGCTCCATTCTCCAGGGCTGACTTTTGACCCGGCACAAGACTGCACTTGTCTCCATCTGCCAGTGGCTCACAGCCGCCTCTGACAGAAACGCCATCCAAGAGCCCCTGCCTCCTTCCCCCAACAGAGCTGCAAACCGTATTACCAGAAATGTGCACGAAGGGGCACTCCAGCTCAGTATGGGAAGCGGTTATAATGGGTGGGCAGCAACCGCTGGAGGGGCGGTGGTGCAATCTGAAGCAGCTGGTGGGCTCCACAAGTGTAACAAGCCTCCAAGTGCTTCCTCTCTCCTGGGCAGGATGAGGGATGCACAAGGCAGCTGTGGCCACAGCTCAGGGCCCTGTGGGGTAGGCTGTGGAGGACTCAGCTCTCAGCAAACAGCTTTAGCTCCCCAGAGGGCCCATCAGGCTCTCACCCCAATTCTGGAATGAGGACAACTAATTTCCTTTCTGGAAATTCTGGAGGCCCCCCTGAGGTTAGAGACCCAGCTGCCAGAGCCTAACCCATAAGTTGAGCTCTGTCCCAAATACACACAGAAATGAGTCTGTCTCTAGCGAGATTATATATGCATATTTGTTTTGAAAATTTGATGAATTTAAGGGCAACATTTTGAAAATAGTTCAGCATAATGGAAAAACATGGGTTATAGACTCAGACTGAATTCAAGAGGAGGATCCATTTCTTTAGACAAACACTGAGTGCCTACCACCTAGAGGGTGCCAGGCTGGGTGCTGGGGCTGCACAGATGGTTTAACCCCGTCCCTGGTCAGTGCAGCATCCAGGAGTCAACAGCTCATCACAGAGAGGAGTGGCGAGTGCTGAGGAGGCACCCGCGGGAATGTGTGGGCACTTGGGGGGATCATCTGATCCCCACTGTGACCAGGAGCTAATTAGTTATTAATTCACCATTCAAGGGTGAATGAGTATTGAGCTGATTACTATTCAAGCCAATCAATAATAATAATAATAATGTTACTGATAATGCAGTTTCATAAATGCTTAGAGAGCTATTCTCCAGAGACCAGGTAGTTCATCCCATCCCTGTTGCCCAAAAGCAGCCTCCCACGTGTCAGTGAGGGTGGGCTGGCCAGGAGCCAATCCCTAAGAGAGATGTACCCCCCGCCGCACGAGTCATTTTTTTGCAATCGGCAAACAATTTAATCCAAGCCTTAATGCCAGCCTGGAAGAGGAAGGGGCAGACTCATGCCCTGGCTGTCAGGCTGTAACCTAGCATCTCCACCTCTCTCCAGGGAACACGAGGCTTGTCAAACCACCTGCGTTAAGCCCTCTTCCCACAGAAGTCCAGACCGGGCACCAGCCCGTCTGAGGAGGAGTCGTTGCCAAGCACCGGCTGCAGGCAGTCACGTTGCAAGGCTGGGCTGGGCACTGGCTGCTCCACACCGGGCTCAATCGAGGGCCTTCTCCAAGAGCAACAAATGTCCCCAACTTGCGAAGCCCCCTCGGCCACCCACCTCACACTTCCCCCTTCCAACCGGTCTGATTCCACGCCTCTCTTGATTTCATTTTTTGAATGCTCACAAAAGCAACCTTGCCTTAGCAAGAAGACCCTGGACCCCCAGGCGGTGGTAGTAGCCTCGATCCTCCGCTACAGTTTAGCGCCCAGCCGAAGCGGGGAAATATGGCTCCGCAGCCGCTGCGCCGCTAATCCTTCCACCATCCACAGGTACGACCTGAAAGAGCCCTGCAGCCACAATGCAACCTGCTCTAAGCAGATGCAGTTTTGTGTGTGACAAAGCCAGCTTCTTTGAAGGACCGTGACACATTCATATCCACGAGCAAAAGCAATGCCATGGGGTCAGAACCATGCAGTCCTAACCTAAGCTTCCAGGCAAGTCAGCCCCCACGCGGAGCGACCCCGCCGCGGGGCCTCAGGACGCCCGCAGGCACGGGTCGCAGGTGGCTGCAGAGAGAAACCAGCCCCACCCCCAGAAAGGCCGCGGAGAAGTTGTCGCCGCCTTCTCACCTGGAGACGCGCGGGTTCGGAACTGCCCGGGAAGTGGGACCCGGGGAGCTCGAGTTGGGGGCCAGAATCCGGCGGCAGGAGTGCGGGAGCCGAGCAGGAGAAGGTTGGAAGGGCGGGGATTCGGGTGGAGGCAGGCGAGGCCGGAGAGGCGCGGGGCTGGGGGAAGCGGAGGGTAGTGAGGTGGACCAGGCACCCTCCGGGACGTAGGGGGCGAGGGAGCGGGCGCTGCAGCTTGGAGAGGAGGCGAGGGCTGGGACAAGGGGTGCGCGGGGGTGGCTTGGGGAAGGGGATAGCTTAGGAAGAGAGAGCGAGTCGGGCTAGGGTTTGGCGAGGGTGCAGGGATAGGGGAGGAGGCTTAGTCGCGGGGTTCAGACCCGGCGGAAGCCAGTCCCAGCACCCCATCACTCTCCCACTGGGGACACTGCTGGGTCGTCCCGGCCTCGGCACGTCCAGAAGAGCCTTTCGATCTCAATCCCAGATCCTGGAACAACAGCCCACCTCAAGCCTCCACACCCCTCAGCCTCAAGGCGACCAGCCCGGCCGAGGCCCGTGCCGCGCTCACCGCCCATGGTCCCGGCCTGGCCAGGCCCGCCTCCTGCTCGCGGCTCCGCGGCTCCGTGCCGTTTCGGCGCTCGCCGCCTGCTCCGCTCGGCGCTTAGGGAGGTAAGGACCGCGGGACAGCGCGGCAGCTCACAGCGCCCCCTGTAGACCTCGCCGCGCCGCGCGCTCGCCCCGCCCCGCGCCGGGCGCCCTTTAGCTCCGCCCCGGAGGCGGTGAGGCTCTGCGGCCTGACCCGGGGGAAGGGCGCAGAAAGGGCTGCAGAGACGACTCTTGACTCTTTGAAGCCAAACGCAGCCCCAAAGGACTGGCCAGTCTGCAGAGCCCCCGGTGGGCGAAAGCTATGGTAACGGGCGTCTGAGGGCGCAGAGACCGCGGCCACATTGCACGCACGGCTTCTGCGCGCCTCACAACGCGGGACTTGGGATCCGGGATTACTCCGACGCACGTCTGGGCCCCGGCGCACGGCCCCGGCCCCGGGCTGGGCCCCTAGCGTCTGTGCGTTTGGGCCGTGTGCATGGCCTGGCGCCGCTTTGATCACCGTGTTGGGCTGGGCGCATCTGTTTGGGGCCCGCCACTGCTGGGTGACTGCTGCCGCGTGGACGCGATCTGCCACGATTCTCGCCACCACGTCCCCCATCCCCCCTTCACCTACTCCACGCTTCTCCTCCGATGCCGACGCCGACCACGTCCAGCCCGGTGAAGACCTGGCTGCCACTGTTTCCGGATGGGCTGCAGGCTTCCCGGACAGGTAGCCGTCCCCAAAGCCTGCGTCCCTGCTCCGCGGCTTCCTCGGAAGCTGCTGAAGATTGACACAGCATTTGACCTATTTCTGTAACTCAGGCATACGATAATTGAGCTTGATTTGATATTATATCTGTGGGTCATTTCTTTCAAATGTAGGCCTTAGATGTCAGAAGTCTACAGTGACACTTGTGCCTTATGTGTCCGTGAGCAAAATAGACACTGATTTTTACCTTCCAGGCACACTTTCTGGAGGAGTTAGTCATTGGCTTCTAATTTCACTCCTGTGTTCATGGCTCCCAAATCCACGTCCTACGCCCACATATTTTACCCATATTTCTACCTACTCTCTGGTTTTCTGCTTTGAACTCCCCATCTCAAACCAGCACTTCTTTTACCAAATTCTATCTCTTCCCAGCTCCCAAACCCATCTACCCTGTGATCTAACCATTCCCCCAGCCGCCTGGGATGTCTTCCTCGCCCGAAGGCTCAAAGTCCAGTCAGTGTTTGCTTCCAAACCCAGCAAACCTGCCCCCGTCACCTCATTCCTGTGATGCTACGGGGTCCTCAGCTCCGTCCTGTTGACTGACACGGCCCCTCCCAGTGAACCCTGTATCTCCCGGCACAAAGGCACTGTCCTCTTCAGCATCACCCAGATTTTCCCACGTGGCTCAGTCCCTACCACCATACCCAGCACTTCTTCCCGCTCCAGGCTCCTCCTGCTGGTCCTCCCACTAGTTCCAGGCTCCACCTCTTGCTGGAGCTGCCTCCCTCTTCCTTATAAGGGTTAGCCAGGGCATCTTCCCCTGTAAATGACAACCCAACTCATACTTGCTTTAACAACAACGAAAAAAAGAAATGATCGACTCATATAAATGAAGAGCCCAGAACTTAGTTCCGGGGACTGAAGAAGAGGGACTGTCCTTCAGCTTAGCTTCCTTCCACGTGCACTGGACTCTCAGGCCCCACCTGAGACCCCAGCAGATCCAGGCTCACAACCTCACCGCAACATGTCCGCCGAAGAACGGCTTCTCTTTGCCATCCATCCCAACAACCCTGGGCTTGATTCTGATCAGCAGGATGGAGTCAACTGTTCATCCCACTCTCCCAGCCACTGTGACCCCATAGCGAGTGGTTCCCTCTCAGCCACCTTCTCTTCTCCCACAGGGAACACATGGCTGCTCCTGGATCCCTTCTCTGTGACAGAGGGACTAAAGGTGACTCAGGGACACCATCTGGAACCATTTCCACACAAAATGTTTCTCCCTACAACGTCACTTTGCGGTGTTGGCACAGGGCGTCCTGAGGCAGAGTTCCAAACAGGGAGTGGAGCACAGGCACTGTCTGCTTTCGGCTTCCTCCTCAACCTACCTGCGACGTCTGTCTGTGTCCCATATCCCTCCCCAGGTTGAGACCCGGCACAGAGTGGCCTCAGGCTCCTCAGGGAACCTGGCATACTCTCCCTGGACTCATTCTCTCCAGTCTCTCCTCACCATTCCTATTCCGTAACAGCTTCTATGCTCCTTTCCATTCTGGAGAAGGTTGTCCCCTTCTGTCTCCCCGTGGACTTTGGATTCTGAGTGGTACCCACCCTCCCCTACCCTGCTCCTTAGGGCAGTAACACCTCATGGCTGAGCCATAAAAGAGGATACAGCTATAAGAAGAAAGAAAAGGTTCCCACAGGGAAAATATATATGGGAAGCATCACAAGACCATTACCCCATCGAACTTCTTTCCTCTGTGGTTCTGAGGAGGTAGTGTGCAGCCAGTGGCCATCTGGCCAGCACCTGGGGAGGCTGTGTCAGAGATTGTGGGTGGCCCAAAGGGAAGCATAGTCAAGAGACAGGCCACTTTCTGTCGTGCCTGAAACCAGGGCCTGCATTTTTCCATTACATGTCCAATAAATCTGCTTTCCTGCAAACAAATTAGAATTGTTCTTTTCTGTCACTTGCAAACAAGAGAGTCCTGAGTAGTCCTATAGCCCAGTGTCTGGCACCATTATTTGCCTGGTGGAGGAGCGAGCACACCCACTGATGACTGTAAAAAAGTAAAAACAAAAATACAGTGTCTTTGGCTCATAAACATGGCCTCCCCTTCTGTTCCCTGCTCCTTTGTCATTTCCCCACACATACCTTAGCCCCAGGGAAACTCAAAATTCATTGGGAGCTGAACCCACCCATCTTATAAAAATAGTCCCAGGCTCACCCAAGTCATGCATATGCATTTTACACATGCATTCCCTGCCTAGACAGAGAGCAGATAGGAACAGGGCCCATCTTCAATTCAGTTTCAAAAAATTGAGCAAATGTTTACACAGCCTCCTTTGAGGTGTGCTGTAGACTTAGAGAAACAATGGGCTTCTGTCCTCACCATTAAAGGGCCTTCACTTTGCGGGAAGACAAGTAGTCTAGGACAGAGACAGAGGAAGCAGCAATATCACGGAGTTCCCCAGGGAGAGGGAGCGGGCTGCTTTATTTGGATCAGGCTCTAAGTTCCAAAGTCTGCTGCCTGCAGTCCTGCCTTACACTGGAATTACACATCTGCATGAAGCATTTTATTTGTGTCCACTACAGTATCTAGGTTACAAATATATTTTAAAATTCTACCCTGGATAGTGTGGCTCAGTGGATTGAGTGCGGGCCTGCAAACCAAAAGGTTGCCAGTTTGATTCCCAGTCAGGGTACATGCCTGGGTTGCAGGCCAGGTCCCCAGTAGGGAGCGCTCAAGAGGTAACCACACACTGATGTTTCTCTCCCGCTCTTTCTCCTTCCTTTCCCCTCTCTCTAAAAATAAATAAAATCTGAAAAAATAAATAAAATAAAATTTCATTTACCATGGATTTTGTTTCTCTGACTATAAAAGGAGTGCCCATTCCTTGTAAAAACTTGGAAAAGTACACAAAAATAAAGATGAATATAAAGCTTTTGATAGATCTGTGTTGATTAATATAGTAGAGAATATCAAACTAAGATATAGAAAGAGGAGATTGTCCCATGCATGCTTCCACACCACTGCTGGCAACCCCAGGGTTAAAGGTTAGTTCTTTGATTCTTGCAAAAATGCTGGACTCTCTCCCTCACACATGTATATGTTTAAAAACTGTAATCTGAGCCTCTCGGCTCCAGGGTGGTCTGTTCTGTATTATTTATGCACGATTCATTTTCTCAGCCTCCAGCTGCAATCCCTTCTCCCCACCCCCAGCAGACTTACTATATTGTTCTTGCGCCTTCCCCTCCTGAGAGCAGCTGGGGGGGCCGGCAAACTCATTTTACCATTTTTCTGGGTGAAACTCAATTAGGAAGGCAAATTTGGAAAAACAGAACACAAAATAACCCTGTTAAGTAAAAATGAGATTGATCTTGCACCTGACCTTGAGGGAAAAAAGATCACGAAGAACTGAAGTGATTTGCTGAATCATAGGCCTAAATATTCATTTTTGTCTTCTAAACTCTGGGACCAACCAAATAATTTTGCTGAGGAAAAACAAGCACTAGATGAACTCACAAAAATCTCATCAAGAAGTCGTAAAAGGACAACAAGGAATTGGGCCATCTATTTCATCAACAAAAGTACCTGGCACATACTTTAAAAATTGGATGAATGGGTGAATGAGCCAAGAGTCAATCCCTCGCATTTTACAAGTAAAAGAAGCCAACCTGAAAGAAAACGAGAGAAGAGTGGGAGCCTGGTGGGGCTTTCTGTGGTCTTGTGGCCCCTTGGGTGACAAATACTCAATTCCGTGTTCATGAGAGAGCTGGGAACCGATTATATCCCAGACTTCCAGTTAGCTCGGAAACAGAACAGAAAAGACGTGAGCTTGGGAACAGCCTTAAAATGCTGCGAGAAAGTCGTTGCTGATGCAGAATTCTCTGCCCAGAGGAAACGAGAAACGGAGGCTGATCTACTTGTTCAAAATCAATCACAATGACATAATGAGAGAGCCAGGGCTACGCTTCGGGGCCCTTTGCACTGAACTGCAGTATTCGCCTTTACTCTGTGTGTGTGTGTGTGTGTGTGTGTGTGTGTGTGTGTGTGCGTGTTTAAACCCATGAATGAAAAGAAAAGAAAAGATCTTAGTATTCCAGAGAGGAACTGAACAAATTGATCCTGTTAGTTTGAATGCTTTTGAAACTTGCCTTCCAAAGACAGTTAGGGTTCCCCCATTCTCTCAGTACAAAGTACTCAGGTTACTTAAATTTTGGAGCCCTGCTGAGCTGACTCGGGTTCTGAGATCCTTTGCCTCCAGCCCAGGTCCCTCTGCTAAGCAAAAGGGCAGGAGATTCAATTATTTACTCAATGATTCCACCTGAACCCCCTTCCACAAACTCCATCATGTTAAAACTGAGTACTTTATCTGTCATTCAGACCCAGTGTATGCTAGAATAGAAAATGCCACCTCTATTACCTTTCCCAGGCTCCAAACTAGGGACATGGGAGACACCCCGCTCTCCTTCATCCCTCATATCTAGTCCTTTTCCAAGTCTTGTGAATCACATCCTCTTTAAACATTTCCCCAACCTGCCCACTTTGGTTCTTTCTGTCACCACTATAGTCCAAACCACTGATCACTGTCTATCACTATAGAGGAATTTGCACTTTCTAGAATTTAATACATACGAAACCACAAAATATGCATGCTTTTTTCCTGGATGTTTTCACCTAGCATCATTATTTTAAGATTCATCCATGCTGATGGGAGTATCAATAATTTATTCAATTTTGTTGCTGAATATTATTTCACTGTAAAAATAGACCACCATTTCTTTATCAGTTGATTGGCATTTTGCTTGTTTCCAGTTTGGGCTATCACACGTAAAGCTGCCGTGAGCACCTGTGTACACGTACTGATACCTGTACCAGTGGGCACATACCTTCATTGCTTTTAGGTAAATATCTGGGGAAGGCATGACTGGGTCGTATGGTAGGCATATGCTTAACTTTTTAAGAAACTGCCAAACTCTTTTCCAGAGCTATCTCATTTTACATTCTTTTCAGTAGTGTATAAGAATTCCTGTTGCTCCGTATCCTTACCAACACTTAATATGTCAGTATTTTAAATTTCAGCCACTCCGATGAGTATGTAGTAGTAGCTACACTGTGGTTTTAATTTGCATTCACCACTGTTTA